GGAGCGCCATCGCGCTCCCAAGCCGTGCACTGCAGCAGTGCGCCACCGGGCCAGCCCCCTAGTTGTAATTTTTAATTAATAGGAAAATATAGAGAATTGGGTAACACTTTGTGTACCCACTGCTACAATTTAATACATTAACATTTTGTCATGTTTGCTTCAGATATTTTTGAGGTATAGCTTACATACAATAAAGTACACAAATCTCGAGTGTACAGTCTGCTAATTTTCACCTATGTATACAACTATGTAATTACCATCCAGATGAAGCTGTAGTATATCACCATCACCCCAAAAGGGTCCCTATGCCATTTTCCAGTCGATAGCACCCCATAAGTAACCCTCATTCTGAATTCTGTCACCAGGAATTAGCTTTTCCTATTCTAGAACTCCTAGAACAACATCATTCTGTATGTCTTCCTTTACGCCTGGCTTCTTTTGTTTAATATAATGTCCATGAGATTCCATGGACATTACCACGTTGTATTAATCCATCATTTGAGTTATGTTTTGTTAATGTTGTTGTTGCTATTGTAAATAGTGTTGGAATGAATATTCTTGCACCTGTCTCCTTGGGTGCATGATTAGGAGTCTCTAGGATATATATCTAGGAGTAGAATAACCAGATTGGTTCGATTACCTCTAGTCATTGGTTACTATAAATAAAGTTGCCATGAGCATCCTTGTACATTTCTTTTGGTGCACATATATGCTCACTGCTATGGATTGAATTGTGTCCCCCCAAAATTTAATGTGTTGGAGAATTGGTCCCCACTGTAACAGGGTTAAGAGGATGGAAAATCGTATTAACGGTAATTGAAATGTGGGATCTTGAAGAGGTGACTAGATTGTGAGGACCATGCCCTAGTGATGGATTAATAAATTGACGGTTTCATGGTGGTGGTTCTGAGGGCTTATAAGGACAGCATATGAGGAGGGTAGTCTCTCTATTTGCTTCCACCATCTGCCATGTGACACCCTGATTTGCTGTGAAGAGTCACTACCCACCAATAAGCCTCTCCACAGATAAGAACTTTGGATTTCCTGGACTTTTGGACTTCCCAGTCTCCAAAACTGTAAGCAATAAATATTGTTTCTTTACAAATTACCCAGTTCCAGGTGTTTCTGTTATAAGCAACAGGAATGGACTAATACATTCACTTATCTTGGGTTTATGCCTAAGATTGAAATTTCAGAACCACAGGATAGGCATATGTTTATCTTTCAATGATTCTGTCAAACAGTTTTCCAAAGTGGTTGAATGAATATACACTCCCACTAGTGATGCATAAGAGTTCCAGTTGTCCCATAGTTGTGTCAATATATGTGTTAG